GTCAAAAAATCATATATAATACATACTAATTTGTGTTTTTTTATTATGTAAATATATTTAAGTCTTACTATATTTAATTTTTTTAAGTTTTCGTTCCTTTTTTGTCTTAAGTAGCTTATAAGCTTTCCAGAAATTCAAAAAGTGGTTACGTTTAAGCTATTTCATAATATGCTTATTGGGGAAAAAACATTCACGATTTGTTAAAATTAAAACTAGTTTGTAGATATATGTAACTATTAATGATTTGTTACTTTAAATATATGAGAAACCTTTAATGTTCTAATAAAAATTACCTCAATTCTAAAATATGCAGCAAATGCGGACGGAGGTACAATAGGTAAGCAGTTAAATTGTGGTCTGAAAAGTTTTAAAGATCAGGTTTCAATATCAGCAGTAATTTCAGTTCCCAGAATTAGATTATCGTTGTTTGTGCTATACTCGGGGTTATCTAATCTAGTCGTCCCTAATTTTGAAGTGATAGACCAGATGGAAGGCACCTAATCAACATCACCCATCTTTAACTCTTGAACTATTCTTTGCCAACGAAAATTGGGATTAACTGTGGCATTATAACGTCTCCATGGCTGAAAATGCGAACATGTTCGACGAAGGGATTCGAACCCAGAACCCTCATGTTGCGTGTAAAGTGTCCTAACCACCAAGCCATGGCAGACATTTCAAAGGATAATATTCTTTTTATTACACATTTTTGTTTGGTCTTTATATTATACAATCTTTGTTCTTCTCGATAGTAAAAATATGAAAAAAGAAACATTATTCTGCCTGATGTGATTATAGTTTTTATATATTTTGAAACCGTTCCCTCAGACGTCTACATTGTTATTAGTTCGTGTGGTTTTGAAAGTGTGTATATTATAGTATAGAAATTATTAATCACAGCTGTCGCCACACTTTACCTTCACGGTATCTTCGAATGAGCAAAATTTTTAAACACGAAATTTTTTCAACTTGAAGAATGTAAAGTTAATTAATGTTTTCGCAAACTTACTTTTTTCATTGAACTAATAGATACAGTATATATTTTTACATGTAGTGACATTGTTTCTAAGCTCTAAGTGAATCTTAAATTATTAACTGATAATTCTCTTAGCTCTTCGTAAGTAAAACCATGCATCCACTTACAAAGAAGTTTACATAACTTAATAATTTGCGGGCTGTTTGCATATAACATTTTCCCCACGCATAAAAACCAGGTGCGCATAGTATACATTTAATTATTTGTTAATTCGCTTGAAATTCAACTATTTCTTTTGGGCATCCACATTTTTTCTCTTCATAATCAAGAAAAAATAACATTTTATAAATAATCAATGAAAATAACAATTCCCGCAACCCTTAAAATATTATTAATTAGAGTATTTGAACTGCGAGCCCGAGGGTTCCAAGTTCGGTACCGTTGTTGCAAAAAACATGCTCCGCACTTTGATGTCGTGGATGTACAACAAGAGTGACGGTAAAATCCTACTATTTGGTAAAATAAGAGTAGCCCAACATTTGGTGGGAGCGCTTTTAATCAGCTGTCTTCTCTCTAGTCTGTCAGTTTTGAATTAATGAGCCGGGTGGTTAGAGGCTTTGAAAGTCCATATGACTATTTGTTAGTAAAAAGAGTTAGTTGTTCAAGAAGTGGTGGTGGGAACTGCCGGCTGGTTTGATTGCCTTCTTTCTGGTTTTCATTTAAAAATTAGAAACGGCGGCAGTTAACCTTACTAAGTGTGCTATAAACAGAACAGTCAAACAGAATTGGAGACGGCAATGCACACATGCCTTTGTATGGCTTTGCGTAAAACTTCTAAAGAACGACAACAACATCTGACGTTAGTAATTTTTATTTTATTTATTCTAGAGTGAATACTTAAAATGCACTGCAAGGACGTCTCAAAATTACTAATTATAAACATTACTGAGAACAACTTTCACCAGAAGAAAGATTATAATTCTGTTTACAGTATTATTTTCACAATATTATTTGTTTAAAAAATATTTTCAGCAAAATATTGCGTTTACAATAAATTAGTAATTTATTTTCGAGGTATTATTTCTTAATTCTATCCAGTACTAGTAAGGGGCCCGGCATGGCCAGGTGGTTAGGGAGCTCGACTCGCAATCTGCGGGTCGCGGGTTAGAATCCCAGTCCCACCAAACATGGTCGCCTTTTCAGCCGTTGTGGGCGTTATAATATGACGGTCAATCCCACTATTCTTTGTTAAAAGAGTAGCCCAAGAGTTGGTGGTGGGTGCTGATGACTAGCTGCCTTCCCTCTAGTCTTACACTGCTAAATTAAGGACGGCTAACGGAGATAGCCTTCGTGTAGTTTTGCGCGAAATTCAAAACAAACAAACAAACTAGTAAAGGTACAGCTAAAAGGGTACAGTTGATATTTAAGTACAAGTATATCTAGTTTAGACAGCTAATCTGGAGTATTTCATTACATCTAAATTCCAAGGTCATATGTTCTCATCGGTAAGTTTAAAAAGGGTAGTTTTGCATCCTACATTATACCCCTCCGAATCGAAGTCAGTATCAAATAGATGGTGGATTCTCTCTTGTGATCCCGATAACTTTCTTTGCCAGATACATTGGCTACGTACTTCCTTTTCCATCAGAGTACTTTTAACCGTTTCCTTTATTTTGTAGGTTTTATCAATAAAAGGGGATGAATGACAACAAACAATGCAATGAATGACAAGACACACACACAATACGTAAAGAAGCCTTCATTCTGTTTAATTTTTAGATAATCTGTCACATATCTCCATGTCTAAAACATTATACTAATTTTCTATCCTGGGTATATTTATCAGTGGTTTTACAGTAAGATATATATATGTAAGTGCATATCAGTTTTTTTTTTCAAGATTTAGATAAACTATAAAGTATTTCGAAACTTTTTGTTTATATCTTGACTAGTGTTTTTTATTCTTTCATCCAATCTCCTTTATCTTACCAATTCTCTCTTATTTCATGATGACCTTAATTGTATTGCTTTTAAAATTCCTCACTCTGACGAAAACTATCTGTATCTAATTTATCAGAAAATTTATAACTCAGTTTGCCCAGTCTCTTCAGATATTTTTCAGTTATGTAATATTTCTATAGTGATTTTAGTTATAATAATTTTGGAATTCTATTTAAATGATATCGTAGCTGGTTTAGTTTGCATAAAAGTTATACTATTTAGCCTCGACGACCCAACGGTAAGCTTGAAGGCTCTTAACCTATAAGCAAAACCAAACATTATTTTATTCTGGTGCTCCTGGACAAGCCGCTGTATACATTTCTATCCCCCTATTTTTTAATTGAGACATATTGCTTGACTTACAACACTAAAGTCTGAGGTTCGATTCTTCGCGATGGACAGAGCGGAAATAACAGATTGTGTAGCTTTGCGCTAAAAAACAAAAACAATGACTCCTTGACTTTGTCTACGCATTCACAACAAATTAACTTATACATTCTTTAATGTTTGTAAATATAAAATCGGGATCTAGAATATATGCATTTATTTCAATTAACTGGAAATTATAATAAGATCACCCTAAGAAAATAAGGTATTGACAATCTAAAACATTTACACCGTGTTACAACCATGACCAGACACTTTCATACAGTAAATAACACTTCACTTTATGTACCTTTGATTTATTTTGGAACACTTCCATATGAAGGTTGTGCTGTTTTAATAATTTATGTGGATCCCATAAATTTTGATGAAAATTTCCAAACTGTTTTGCATTTGTAGTACTCAGAATTGAATATATGAATGAAAATGTACATTTATTTTAAGTTCCACATTCTATGGTGTATGTGAACAAATTCTCATACTTTTAAATTTTTTTCCCAAAGCAACCATTGTTATTTTTGTCTATAGTTGCCATAATCAAACACTGTTTTAGAGAACCAAAGTAGACAAGACAAACTATTTAAACTTAAAAGATCAAAATGGATTGTGGTAATAAAATACTCCTTTTTAGTAAGTATTAAATGCTGCTTCAAATTCTCAACCTAACAAATGCCCATACTTCTTAGTTCACTTCTCACAACCTATTTCAATATATTATACAACATTTAATTCAGTCCAATTTTATTTTCCATATTATTAAGAAAAAAAGTTGATAGTTATAATGCAGATTTTTCTAATCATAATGTAATACCTTTTTATAAAGTTATCATTAAAATATTTTTAGTAAAGTCTGATAATTTTCTGGGTTCATGGCATTATTAAGGTAACTTAGAATAGGGATTTCAAACATATATACAATTTCGACGTATTAACGATCATATTGCAAGTTTATACTTTACATACCGTACCTAGGAAGAGCACAAAATAAATATACTCATTCTTGGTGGAACCTCAATTACATCCGAAAACATTGCAAAGTATAAATTTCTCTTTACATTTTGGATTTATTCTAGATTATTAATATATATTTCATTGTACAATTTTTTATTAAATCGTAATGATTTTGTTTTCTTAGTTTTTTTTTAAATACTACTTACAGATTCTTCAAATTAAAATGTAATATTTAGCACAATCAGAACAATTTAAAAAAATTCCGAAATAAACATAACGCCAGAACTGTGTTAGCGTTTAACACTGGCAAAAATTTGATAATTTCTTTTGACTTTAACAGTGGTGTTTAATTTATATATGTGTTGTGATACTTATTAATTACACATTATACCATTTTGAAAAGTTAATTTTAACTATAATTAAAATAAACTATTTTACATAAAACATTCGTTAATTTTTCAAGCCCTCTGAATGTCAACCTAGTTTCCAGCAATAAAATTAAGGTAAGTGAATGTTTAATATCACGTGTAGATTCTTCTCATAATCAGACTGCTTAACCATGGCTCCCACGTTTGTTTTATAGCATTTATAAGATGGTGATAGAAGAAAACAGATATTATGACTCTATTTATTTTACGTCATTTGGTTTAATGTTTTGTGACTCAAATACGCTATTCTATATTTTATTTTATTTTTTTAGCGATGGATCATTACCCTTCAGACCAAAAAGCGGAATATCACGTTTAGTAAGTACAGTTCTATGTCGTCTGTCCACCAGCGTGGCCTGTCTCTTTGGCCAAAATTCGAACTCTAATCCAGTCACATCACCTGGTCCAGATTGTGACTCCCAAGAATGGCCACAGATGGTGGACCACGTGCGTCGAGGCCGACGGATCCCTAAGTCTGTACAGTATCGTGTGGAACTTGAGTACTCGCGGCCGCTGGGATGGATTAGTCGGACGCCAGAAGGAAAGTTTGTACTGCATGACAGTGGAAGCGAGGATAGGGCTCAACGTGATGCTCGACTCCTCTCTCCGTCCAGGTCACAAGTTAGCCTCTGCAGTGATGCTAGCGGTCGGAGTAGTCTCTTCCATCCCCCTCTCCATCCCTACGTTCGAGTGCCCAGTGCTGGTAGTCGGGGCTTTTCTCCCCGCTCCCAGGTTTCGTTCAGTCTCGCCAGTCAACCAATTCCTACCATATATTCTCCCAGGGATCCAAGATTCCGTACTAGTAGTCCCGGTTTAACTGCTGCTGGACCCTTTCTGCTAGAAGATCTCAGTTCTGTTAGGCATCCTTCTTCAGCTGAAAAATCTTTTCCTAGCACCATATCTAGTTATTTTGCTGGATGGAGTCCAAATCTAACCCCTTCGTATGAGTTGCCCTCCCTGCGCCCTCTCCAAAAGCATGTTATAAGGGGTCCATCTGCTCAGTTTCGACCAATTCAGCGGCCAATTCAAGCCCAAATAAAAGTACACCCTCTTGTTCGTGATACAGCACCACAACTAGTAAATCGAGCAAGTGGTATGACACTTCTTATGAGACCACCATCAAGACAAGAGCCAGAATATGGTACTTGGAAAGATGGACGCCACATTCACATGATAGGTCCTCGACCATTTGCTCCACCCCCAACCTATCACCCAAGACCCATCTACTGGAGGGCACCACATCAGGGACCCCGCTGGTACATGGAGGATTCATTTTCTTCGGCTAGTATGAATATGAAAACTCTTGGTCAACCACATATGACAGATCAACCTTCGACATTGCAACAAAGAAAGACAAATAGAAGCGAATTCTACTATAATAAGCCCATGTCTAACAGTAGTCTTCCTAGGTCTGACAGAATAATAGCCCGTGTAAATCCTTCACCTTCTAAGATTAAAGTAAAACCATTCATTCAGGTTCGTAATACTATTCCAAAGCAAGGTGACGAACAACACGATAGTAGTGATACCAGTAGTAGTGATCGTCCAATGACCTATACAAGAGAGAGACTTCTTGGGGCTGTTGAACGTGTGCGAAAAGGAGCACTACATCGGGGAGAACCTTTTCAGGTTGGTACTTCAGAGTTTGATGTGGGTTTTCAGGAGCCAGCTATCCGATCACCACCAACCACGCCTTCAGGTGAGGAAGACACACACATAGCTCCGTTTTCTCTTTGTTCCACTGATCAAATGCCACTTAACTTCTCTCAGAATGAGGGACGCCTACCTCTTCTGCCAGAGGAAACTGTACTCCCTGGCCCTGGTCTTCCTCATTCTAGGATGAGTATCACAAGTGGAAGCTCAGGACGAGGTAGCAAGGCAGCATCGATTTCACACTCCCATGGAGACAGCTTGCAGGGAGAATTGGATCTTGGTGTTATTAATCGCAGTAGCAGTAGCAGTGGTTTTGCTAGCCGAAATGTTTCTGCAGTACAGTCTTCTACTTCTCCTGGTCATAGTTCAGGAAGCAGTGGCCCCCCACCAGGGATTATCGCTGCTGCACCAAAAGGATCATCCACTCTGGGTGATCTTCGAGGACCAACAATATCTCAGCCTCTTGATGCGTCAGTGGATGAGAACTATGAGTTTGATACAGTTTTACCACTAGAATCAGAAGTTTTGAACAGAATTCGAACATTCTCTGGATCCAATCATACGTATCTTCCATCTATGCCTGATAACTCTGAACGTGGGCTCAGTGACAGTGAAATACATCATAAATCATACCTCAGACCAAAAAAACCTAACACTTATGATAACACTGAAGCACGATGTGCTGCTTTAAAAAAGGAATTTCTCAGGTTTCGCCAGAAACAGAAAGGACGACGAACGTCTGACGAACTTGAAAGTGTATGTTAATAGATTTAACACACACATACACAAAAGCATAATTTATTCATCCCTAAACTTTACAAGTTATTCATCCCGTGGATGACCTAATAGAGCCAAACTAAAAAGTTCATGGTAGTTGATTGCGTTTGATAGGCCTGCATGCTTGGTGACAGTTGTAATAACCTTAAGAAATAAATGAATAATGTGCTTATCCAACAGAATGAGTTAATTATTTATAGATAAATGCAAACTGAAAAAATGAGATAAAAAGCCCTTTATCAAGTTGAATTTGTTCATATCACCGTCAAAGACTTTGGTGCATTGTATATTGGAACAACTTTTGTGTGATGTAGCAGTAGCCTATATTTCGTTGGTGTAAACATGTTTGTTTCTGAAACAGGTGACGAGATTCAGGTCTTGCGAAACCCAACTTTCCAATGGTATCTAATATTTATGTCCATGAACCAGAAGTAAGTTACACAGTAGCAGTAATATGTTGTAAAACATAAAATGAATAGATCTACTTTTTCGCACTAGTACCAGAAATAGACACAAACACTTGTTTAAAAGGAAGTCTTAGCAAATAATTAACGACTGAAAGGTATGAATGGGTTACTACCATTACTACGTGTAAATAGTTTGAATGGGTTACTACCATTACTACATGTAAATTATTTGGATGATGGTTTAAATTTCTTGTTGAATCCTTCTTTGATTTTAAAACTTATTCCAGAACATGCCAACCGTACAGAACCAGAAAGTACTTGAAATCCATTTGCAGTGAGAATAGTTAGCCTTATTATTCGTTTATTGAAGCCGTTAGATAAGAAACAAAATTTGTTCTTAGTTCACTTTGATGTATTCTACTAAAACTTTATTAAAGATTTAATTTTGTTTTCAAAAAAGATGTGAAATTTACACTAAAGTATACTGTAGATTCAAGAAATTGTTGATAAGTTAAAATAGTAAAAGATAAATTTTTTTGTCATTGACCTTTTATAAAGATAACATGAAATCAGTTATTTTTGATTTGATATATTTTATGTGCATGTCTTTCAAACTTAGGTTTGAACTTATAGAAAAATTCCGTTCCTGAAATAAATGTCTGGAAAATTTATATTATAATTTATACTTTTAAGGTAGATCGGTATTGAAGGAGGTTTTGGAATCTAAGATCATGATACTGTAAAACTACCTTTAGGAATTTGTTGTTCCTGAGAAGTTTATCCATTTGTGCTAAAGTTGGGTGTAGTATATCCATAGCTTAAAGAATTAAAGATTCTAATCACTGACTTTTTTGCTACGTCTGTAGCATCAAGAACCTTGATTTGCACATGTCTAATGTTTGAAAGAAGCGAAAAAAGTGACAAATAAAATGCCTGGGATATGTTTAAGATTGTTCCAACTGACTTCTGAACAAAGACAAACTTGTGAGGGCCTCTATGAGACAAATACCTTCCAATCAAAACTGATTAAGTTTCTTCTTCGTTTATTTTAATAAAGAATAAAAAAACGCATAATATTTTGGAATTTGCTCTAACTGTGTAATACGTGATCAGAAAACCAGGCCTTTAGTTTTAATCGCAATAATCTGAATCCTGTAATCGGTATGTTATTATTCTAACTCTAGCGTTAAAGTGATTTCATATATATATATATATATATCGGAATTTGAGCAATGAGGCAAATAGGTAATTATTGTAAATAAACAAGGTATTCATCCAACCGCAGATAATTTCACTGATAATTGAAAAGAATGCGATCGATGCCACAATAGGAATAATGCATGTTTTAAACTTCCCATCAATATTCATATAGCCTTAAAACTAAATATACTTATAAACAAAGCAAAAAGGTCTGACATATTAATCAAAGCCGGTTTAAAGAACAAGCTGTGAGAACTAATACAATACTTTAACTAAAATATCCTCAATAGATATAAGTGAAATTTAAAGATTTAGTACTTATACTTAAAGTATTAGTTATTTCTTAAGTAGTTATTTGGTAAAACCGTGTATGAAAAATATAAGAGGAAAAATTTGAAATTGTATAATGATATTTATTTTTGAATTTTACATAACAAATCTCAAAAGTCGATAAGTTGGTGTAATGATGAATGTGTGAAAGTTTGTAAAAAGTATGTTATAATTTTTTAGATATTACATGTTAAAATCTGCGAATAACGAACGAAGAAAAACAACATGGTTCAAATGAATTGTTAACACTACTATGAATGCAGCGGAAGTAATACAATAATAAATAAAGCATGACCCACTATTTTGCCCTTTTCTTACGATCTGAGTTTGTTAAAATCTATTGGAAGTACTCGAAATTATTTTCATAATAATGTTACCATTGGTAGGACTTATAAACAATATATATATATATATTACAGTGAATTTCAGTTTGCTTCATTACTGATAGAAAGACGACTGCGATACTGAACATCTATGTAATATTTTTATGACAGTAGAGAGGCATATATTAAATATAAATACAATGTAAACTGTCGTGGTTCAAAAGGTAAAATAAGGTGAGATTTTTATATTTGGCGTATTAATTATTCCACAGAGCTTAACTATAATGAAAGTTGTTGAGGAAACTTCTGTTTGGATCATTTTATGAGTATTCGTATAATTTATACAAGTGCACACTGAACAATCCAAAGACGTCACTTGCGGCTATTTTGGTCAATTTACATTCCATGTTTAAATTTTTTGTTGGTCACATATCGTTTGAGCATTTTTTATCTATTTATATTGAATGTTCATATGTTGCATTATTTTGTTTGTTGTTCTTACGTGTAAATAGCGTTTTTAAACTGAAATTCTTTTGTTTGATTTCATTTCGCGTATGTACCTGATATTATGTTTTGCGCGTGTTTGTCTGTCATGAACTTATAAAATTTTAATGATTTTGTGACATAAATAAACATTTCTTTTTTAGAGTGAACGTTTCTATTGTTTTTTTCCTCAATAATTGCTAGCCAGTATGATAAAAGACAAATCATTATCACCGAACACAGAACAGCAGAGAGTATTTTATATTAAGTACATACAATTAAGCTGTTTTCCAAATTTGTTTTCAACATCATTATCTTACATATTTCTAGGTTGAAAGATAAATCTGGTGTACACAAAAATTCAACGTCAATTGTTCTTTCTTTTTTATTCTTTTAATGCTATAATTTCAAATACAGCGTGATTTCACCTTCTACTCATTTCATTAACTTTAAAACTTACAAGCAGCATTAGTATATTTTTTCCAAACATAGTATTTTGTTGATGATGTTTCGTATTTAATCTTTCAAGCATTACTAAGAACGCAAGAAATCGAGGTTACACTCTTAGTGTGAATGTCCGATTATAGATTTTTCAGTATGAATAGGTTACTATCAAACACTAATTTTTGTCTTCCAAAAATATTTTGTGGGTAATTTTCATTAGAAATGTCAATAGAAAAAAATGAAACACAAAAATTATTAATTATTGATATAACCTTATTACACTAAATGAGATATTTTCTGTTCATTTATGTAAATTCATATGAACTAAATATCCTTAACAATCACTTATCCATCTAATGGTATTCCTCAGTTTTTGTACGTTCAATACAAATTGATGAGAGTAAACTGGAATGGACGGAAACTGCCTATTCTAAAAAACACAAGTGTAGAGGAGGACGTTTCAAAAGTCTTTCTTCTTTCGTTTTCATGGACCTAAAGACGAAAGAAGGAAGACTTTCGAAACTTCCTCCTCTACATTTGTATTTTTTTAAAACAGGCATTAAATTGTCCATTCCAGTTTACTTATCATGAACACTCTGCCTAAACAATCTATCAAAGAAATTGACTTTTTGTTAAATTCGTAGCTGGTAATAAGTTTGAATTTATGATGCGTTCTCTAATTATTTTTCCTGTGATGACATATAACTTAAATGTTAAATCATAAATTCTTGTTTCCATCTTTCATTTTACATAGAAACTTACCATTTCTGTTGCTTTACAATGATTAAGCTTAAATGGAGAGTCATTCGTTTTAACGTCACGTTTTCTTAAAGTGAAATAGTTATATTAATTAAATATAATGGACATTAGTAAATAGTCTAAAGGTCATTATTTACTTATGTATTGTTGGCAAGGGTAACTAACCAAGTAAATAAAGGGTAACAAGTATTTTTTCTTCGACGATACCCTTGCTTTGAAAATCATATTCATTATTTAAAAACGCAAATACCTTTTTCACATCTTCACGAATAATAGAGACTGTTTCATAAAATGTATCAATAGTAAATATTCGTAACAGTTTTTTTTTATGTTCATACTTTTGGCCCGGCATGGCCAGGTGGATAAGGCGCTCGACTCACAATCTGAGGGTCGCGGGTTCGAATCCGCATCCCACCAAATATGCTCGCCCTTTCAGCCGTGGGGGCGTTATAATGTTACGGTCAATCCCACTATTCGTTGGTAAAAGAGTAGCCCAAGAGTTGGCGGTGGGTGGTGATGACTAGCTGCCTTCCCTCTAGTCTTACACTGCTAAATTAGGGACGGCTAGCGCAGATAGCCCTCGTGTAGCTTTGCGCGAAATTCCAAAACAAACCAATCGTATTTTTGTTTTACATCACTTATAAAGCAACTAATTATAATGACAGTTTACAAGTTTATTTCACTTTAACATACTCATTTCTATATTAAGTGAGCGATAACACATGAAATATTAATTTCCACGTTTTCAACGTCAAGGTATTTAGCAAAACATATTTTTCTGCTACGTGCCACATAAAACATTACGAAAAGAGTCGTTATACGATGAACAAACCAAGGTGAAATGGGCAACAACTGCCTGGTTCAGAGTGACTTTGTAGCTTAGGTAGCTTTTCGATAATCTTCCGTGCTTCGTCTTCAGGGTAGCTTGTACTGTTTTTTGCAGGAGGTTATATGGTATCCGGGGGTGACTTTATTGGCTGGTGGTTCTTGTAACGGGATTGGTGGAACGAATATTGGTTTCACTTGTGTAGCCACAAACTTTTGCTTTCCCGAGTCTTTCTTTAGCAAGGATTTCATCGTATTGATGTAGAATTATTTTTTTATTTTTCTTGTTTTCCAGAATTTAACTGAGTAGATGTGCCTGTAATTGTCCCAGTTTTACTAGTGTCCAGTTTACATAGCATCTTCTGCCTGGACAGAATTCAGTGTTTTCGTTGGTCCTGTGCAGTCTTTATTGTACTTATATTTTTGTCCCAAAATGTCTTCCGGTTTTTCAAACGTAGGTGAGTTTACAGGAGCATTTCATAAATGCCGTTTTTGTGTTTGTCATCAGTAGTTCTTTGTTTAGTTTGACAAAGACAGAGCTGGATTTTCTGTAAGATCTCCAGTAGAAATCGTTGTTAAACTTATTTAATCTTCTCACTTACGTAAACAGTGTTGGACTTTTTTTCCCCCTTGGTATCATGGGTGTTATGTAAGTTCGGTTGTCAGTAACAGCATGCCACTGTAGAAGGCGATATTAGTCGCTGAAACCTCTGGCTTACTGTTTATAAAACTTCGTGTTTCTTACTCATCATTATAGTTACGTTTCTTCAGTTTTTAAGTTATTCTATGTAGTCCCCCAGCAATTTATTATTAGGTAATCACATAACAAGCGACGCTAAAACTTTCATAAATACAGTATGTTCATGTATTTTTTTAATTGGGCACAAATACTGTAATTCTTTTTTATCCACCCAGAAATTATTTAAATCTCTGATAACAAAATATAGTTAAAAGAGTATTATAAAGTGTTCTGACTGGAGACCAGTTTTGGGCAGGTTATGAATGATATAATAACATTATAATTAGTGTTATATGTGACTATATATCCTAAAAGCGAAAATGCCTTGCCATTCTAGATGTTATATACTATATTAAGTAAATTTCTATATTGATTAGTGTGTGTGTGATTTACGATTTTACCTGATCTCCTTGCCCGTATCCCATCCTTCAAAACATTTATACATAATGTATTACTTAAAATTACAATGTTTGTCAAAGAGAGAAGAGTTAAATTTGTTCTTATCATCCATCTTCAAGAAACTGTTTAAACAATTCTAACTTCAGATATTTAAAAGCACCAATTAATCTATAAATGAGACAGAGAATGTATTCAAAGGATTTTCAATTAAACCAAGAGTATTCTCCATTTCAGTATTTAGTGTAATTAATGACTTTATATTTAATTTAGTTTTATAAAAAGGTTTTCAAAAAGAGATTGTAGAAAAACAGAGAAATATTTAACATAAATTGCAGACCTGTTTATTGTAGAGAACATATATTATTTCTATTTTTATATACTTAATACTACAGTTTCACTAACTAGTTAAAATTCTCGTTTAATAATTAAAACCACAATACCATGGTTTAAGTCCATGACTTTTAATCGGGGAATTGATTTGAAGATATTTAGTATCGAATGATTTAAGAGCCTTGTTGGTTTTTGTTTACTAGGTATTTTAGTGTTTCTGGCTATGCAATTTTGCGTTTATTTATTGATCCTATATTAGTATCTTTCAACTTGAGAGCTATAATATTTTCAGTCACTACTTTTAAAGAATTGTTGAATATATGGTAATTCGTCTGAAAAAAAAAAACTCTATCGAAAGAAAAATCTGGATTTTCAAAAATGAAGGCTACAGTAAAAGTAAACTCTTTGAAAAATTTTGTTAATCTTTCATGTGGAAAATTATAATCCTTGTGGGAAAAAATATACATTTCTCACCTGTTTTATCTTCCTTGATGTAATCATTTTGAAGAATATAATCGGTTATAGGTTTTCTAAAATTGCTATTTGTTAGAAGAAAAGTTTCCAAGGTATGTTGTTTTTCTATATTTTCACAGCCAGTTTGAGTTAAGAGACGAACTTCCCATAATTTAAAGAAAATTAGAAAAAATTTAACATAGTTAAAAAGTTTAACATAGATGAAGGTAACTGTAATTGACTCTCAAACTTGATAAAAACAAGCTAAGACTGTTTGCTCGTAGTTTATTGTTAATGAGTAACTTAATCAAATATTTTAATCTAACACATAATTCCACATCATTCGTATATAATCCAAACAAGTTTTAATCATGATTAATATTTCATTTAGGTAGTTTACTCTTTATGGATAACATATAGATTTCTATAAAATAAGTGTGACACTCGTCCTATCGCTCGATTTAATATTTACTAATGAACTATACCGGTTTCGGAGAATTCTACCTCTCATCAGTAACGCAAGACATAGACGAGCCGGAAGAATATGACTAGGCATCAAATAATGGTAGAATGTGTATTATGTGTATGGTGTTTGAAATGTCTTTTACTGACACAGTAATCCAATATATAGGAATTTCAAGAATATGCAGAATCGATGCTATAAATATATTATTGTGAATTATTTAGTGAGATAAGCTGTTTGAAACACTATATATTAAATAAATATTGATCCCAATCTATCATTAGATTTACCAGTTGTTACTGAGTTATAATAGTTTCAGGGAATTCCACCCACCCTCATCGAAATATTGTATTACTGTATGAGTAAAATACACTTAGAAACTCTTTATACAAATTTCTATTTTTAATTTTGTTTTTCATAACTTATATTTCATATCAGTATTACAGTGACGAAAGTGATGAAAGATGCCATTTCATGACAGAGAGATAATAAAAATAATATTGGTAATCTAATATTTTACTCTTAGATATCATGAGATACGTTTATAATGTATTAAATGTCATGGTATACGTTTAGAATGTATTCATAATCTCAACTTCTCCCATCTAAAGAAAACAAATTATACAATCTATCGATTATCATATTGAATTTACTTTACCTGAGATGTACATGGTTATTTATGAAAAT